AATTTCCTTCACGGCATATTTAATTACAGATTATAATTATACATTAAAATGCTTGTTTACTGCCAGTCTTCCTCAACAGACCATTAACTCCATGAGGGTAAGGAGGTTATCTGTTTTGAAGACTCAATTAACTCAATTTTTTACAGTATCTTATTTAAGGTTTTACTGTAATGAAATCCAAGGAATTCCTTCTTGGTATTTAAAAATGGAGCTGAAAGCCCATTATTAAAGATCTAGTGACTGCATATAGGCTCTAAAAGAATAAGGAGTTATACAGTGGTATCTGTCATCGGTACACAGGGAAAGGAGTGGTCTATGTCAGAGTATTGAAAGAATGATTAAAAGAACCTGAATGGCTAACTCCAGATATTACTACATCAACTTCTGTCTTCCTCCTTGAATAACAGCTTCTGGTCTCATACTGGGATTTTTTTTTTTGTCCCCCGCTACCCCCTTTTTTAACAAGCCTGTGCCTTTCCTTGGAGCATACTGGTTTTAAGTTCTCCTTTTATTTGCTGTAGCATTTAACACAAATATAATTCTCTCACATATTAAAAACAATGGGAGGATGTGGAACTCAGAGAAGCTAACCAAGTATGTATTGTAGAAATAACTAGTAGAAATTTGAGGAGAATATAAAAAAATCATCAGAAAATTTGGCTGATCCTTTTTATCTTACTGTAGGTAATAGATGTGTATGGGCATTAGCCCAAACAACAGACAGTTGGCTTCAAACAAGAAGTTGGAATAGGAGCTAGGTAGTATCAACTTTAGGACATCCATGAAGGAATAGGTAAGGTTAGGTTTGGTCTCTATGTTGCAATTCTTGCTTTAACTGCAATTACACAAACTAAAGAGTTACATAAAAGTGGACATTTTAGGCTGGGCATGGTAGCTCACACCTGTAATCCTAGTATTCTGGGAGGCGGAGGGGGAAGGATCGCTTAAGATCAGGAGTTCGAGACCAGCCTGAGCAAAAGCAAGACCCTGTCTCTACTAAAAATAGAAAAATTAGCTGAACGTGGTGGTCTGCACCTATAATCCCAGCTACTCGGGAGGCTAAGGCAGGAGAATCACTTAAGCCCAGAAGTTTGAAGTTGCTGTGAGCTAGGCTGAAGCCACGGCACTCTAGCACGGGCAACAGAGTGAGACTCTGTCTCAAAAAAGAAAAAAGAAAAAAAGTGGACATACTGCAGATAAAATTTAAAAAGAATGAAAAACACTTAAAGGCACATGTGCTCCTTTCCCCAACCTTCTAAATAATAGGTATCTCATGGGGTTCTTATGTGACTTTCTTCTTTTCAGTGGAAATTAAAAGGTAGGTTGGAAAACATTTGGCTTCATTATATGTCAAAGAGTACTCTACATCGAGTAAGGGAGAAGCAGTATATCTAAGTTTTAGGAATGTGGGATAAACTATTAAAAAGGTCATGTGTAAAATTTTTTGTCATACCAAAGAATAAATAAAAACAGCTTTGGTAGAATTCCACTGCAGTAATATTAAACCAAATTATTAAAAATTACACTATCTGAGTCTTCCAAAATCTATTATGATTCTGAAAACATTTGAAATTGGATAGATTATGTTGTTAATACAATGGCAAGGAATGGCCTTGTGAAGCCAGTTAAACCTGGGTTTAATTTTTAGCTTTGCAACTTACTAGATATATGACTTTGGGCAAAACCTGAGTTTCAGTTTCCACATCTGTAAAATGGGAACATTACCTATCTTATAGGGTTGTCTGAAAATCAAATGAGATAATAAGCTCAATAAACAAAGTTTCCTCTTCTCCCTACTCTGACCTCTAGAATCAGTGCTGTTCAACAGGGAAGATAAAAATACTTTACAAGGTGCCTCACTGGTGCAATGAGTAGTGCATCAGTTTTATAATCTGAAGAAATACTCTACAAAGTACACGGTCCAATATGGTAGCCATGTGGCTGAGTGCTTGATATGTGGCTAGTGTTACTGAGAAACTTAATTTTAATTAATTAGCCACTTGGGGCTACCATATTGGACAGCACAACATAAACCATGAAAGCGTGTTTCTTTGAGGCTTTAAATCCTTATGGGAACCAGGGGATGGTATAAAGAAAAACAACTTTAAGTTTCTCTACAAGTTTATCCCACACTGCAGTTTACAAGAAACAGCGTAGATATGTTTTATCTAGATTTATGAGATGTATCTGCGTGAACCAAGCCAATTTACCTAAAATACCTAAACCTCAGATTCCCCATGACAGGAATACTTACCAATTTCACTGAGGAACTGTGGAGATGACAAATAAATGGATCTGATATGATACAGTAAGTGCTTAACAAATGTGGTTTCCTTTGACCTCCCATATTCACTGTTTCTTACATCACCAAACTTTCCTCATATGCTGGCCAAGTGCCCGACCTGTTGCTAAATTTTATATTGACAAATGTAATTAATGCCAACTGTTTGCCAAAATGTGTTTACATTACTAAATTATATATTGTCAATACTGACTTTTTTAAGAGCCTGAACTTTAAAAAGGTATTACTAAAAAGAAAAGTATGTTCAACATCATGTAAAAACCTCACAAAACAATCTTTGATACTAAAACCATTGTTGTGAAATGGTAGTAGATATTGGCTAGGCATAGAAACTAAGGATTATCTGCTACAAAACTGCTTAACTTATTTGAGGATGAAAATAAAAATTAAAAGCAAAACTGAACTTATACCTGTTTTCTGTTTCACAGCCAGAAAACTGGCTTTAAGATTTTTGGAAAGTGCTGCTACATTTTCTATTAATATGAAATATCAACTATTCTAAGCCCATAAGATGATCTGGCTATCTCTAAGGTTCCTTTCAATAACAAAATATTCCAAATATCTCTATTAGGCTGTTGATCAATACTTAGGGTCATCACAACCTGGGAACTGGTGGAAGCTAACCTACAAATGACTTTTCCACTGTTATTTGAGGAGCCCCTTCAGTGTTCATGCCACACAAAAGCAATCTACAACTACGACTCTTAATTTTTAATTTCTGTCATAGAACAAACATTTGCCACTGGAGACTGCCAAACTGCCTATGACTGTGTCTCCTAGCTATTTCCAGATAGTGCCAGGGCAGTAATGTGTTAGGACCAATATGTTTCTTTGTAGTAATACTTTGTTTGCTTCACTGTCAATTTAGACAGAGGGTACAAAGGCAGACCTTTTAGTTGGGTAAGCTTTATATTAAAAATTTAGGCTGAAGCAGATTGCTTGAGCCCAGGAGTTCATGACCAGCCTGGGTAACATACTGAGACACTGTCTCTATTTTAAAAAATG